CCCCTCTATACCCTCTTGGGACCTGACTCTAGTGCTCACAGCACTACAGCAGGGCCCATTTGAGCCTTTGCAGGCGGTCGAGCTGAAGTTTCTGTCAATGAAAAATCGGCTCCTGCTTTCATTTGCCTCCATCAAGAGGGTAGGGGACCTGCTGAGATCCCAATTCGTCGGTCATCCGACGTGACGTCTCCGCTCCCTCCTTCATGGAACGAGGGTTACCATATGTAACCGAGACGTTACTTGTAATATATTGCCCCCAACACTGATTATATGTTTAACCACTATAGAGACATCAGAGCCAGCTGCAAATTCCAGAAGATCTGAACGAGTTGAGGCTGCTCTCGGCGGGTTCATGAGCACTGATGCCCTGGAGCTCACATCTCCAAAAGCACCAAAGCTAATTTTTTAAAGGGCACCTATTATGCCCCTTTTTACAAGATGTAATATTGATCTTGGGTGTCCCCAGAATGTGTCTGTGAAGTTTCAGCTCAAAATATCCCACAGATCATTTATTATAACAAATGGAAAATTACATTTTTTTGGGCATGTCTAAAAAAAGTGCTGTTTTGGTGTGTATCACTTTAAATGAAAATGAGCTGCATATTCCCTTTAGAAGAGGGCGTAGCATACACAGCTCTGCATTGCATACCTACTGCAATAAACAGCCAGTAGAAGCAACATGACTGAGAGCAAGAGAACCGGTGTTCAGCCGTACATATGGGAAGCCAAACACTCTGAAAGTGGGACGAAGCTGTGCAATGTTACAATGAGCTCACGAACATACTTAAAATACTGCAATAACATATGCACACAAAGAAGGTTAAAACGTTAGCTAAGCACTAGAATAATATTACATTCACAAAGCAGTCTGGAGTGAAATAATTTGTTAGGCAGATTTTGAGGCGCATTACCTTCAAAAATAGAAGTAATGCACTGCGTCCTCAGCAGCTCAGATGTTGGGAGAAAATGAAGACTCTTATGTTCAGTCTTACAAGCAAACACAGAACACCGGGATTGCTTACAGACAATTGTTGACGTTACAGCAGCTCGAGTGCAAAGAAATTCGAGGACAGCATACAACCAACACAACTCGCTGAGGGCGGAAACTATGGCAATGCAGGACTGCCGGTCAACGGCCATGTGATGTCATATTGCTTTGAGAATCAAAATGGCATGCCTAATGAGACTGCTTTGGTTTAATGGGGATTAAAAAATAAGGAGTGGGTGGATTTGTATCATTGTAGGGTGGTTGTGTTCACACACTGACACACATTCATGTCCAAACACCATGCAAAAGTGGTTTTTGCATAATAGGTGCCCTTTAAATAGATGTTATCTTTATTAACTAACTGCATATTTGAAGTCTAAAGTACATTCTTGCCTAAAAAAACTCTTAGAACTACATTTGTGACACAAAAAAACAGTATTATTTGTATGTATATATATATATATTAGGGCTGTCAGTTTAACGCGTTAACTTCATTAAGGAAGCAGCTATTTACACTAAGTGCAAATACCTATAGATTCTGTTTACACTGTTAAAACAGCAAGATTTTCTGCTATTTATACTACTTATTGCAAATAGTAGCAATTATCTGCACCTCAGTATTGTAGTACATTATAAAACAGTATGCAATAATAATGTATTGAGTGTAAATTATAATTTTAATTAAAACTATATGAGTAAAGTTTGATGTCAAACTTTAAATTTGGCTTGAAAAAGCCAGGCCAGAAAGGTTGAAAACATTGTAATAGCTTTAAGTAGTTCTACAGTTTCAAGTTTGAATGTTTTGAAGGCGATTCTAGCATTATTAGCATGTTACTAGCGTGTTGCTAGCATGTTTCTAACATGATTAGCATGCTTATAGCATGATTAGCATGTTGCTAGCATGATTAGCGTGTTATTAACATGTTGTTGGCATGATTAGCACGTTACTAGCATGTTACTAGCATGGTTAGCACGTTATTAGCATGATTCTAGCACAATTGGCATAGTCTAGTCTAGGTTTTCAACAAATGTTTCTCAGTTTATCAGCATATTAGCATGATTTCTGAAGGATCATGTGACACTGAAGACTGGAGTAATGATGCTGAAAATTCAGCTGCGCATCAAGGGAATAAAACACATTTTAAAATGCATTCAAATAAAAAAACAGTTGTTTTATATTGTAATAATATTTCACCATCATTTGGAGATCATTGGAAATTCTCAGGGTTTGAAACATGTATCAAAACAATTTGAATTGACCCTAAAAATTATATGAAGTGGTTCAAAATTATTTTCTAATGCAAGCGATTTTAGCGAAAAAAAAAACAAAATACTAACAGGTCTCTTTCTCTTTCTTTCTGGCTTTGTTGTTACAGTCTGATGATCTGGATCCCTTCCAGGACATTTTAGAGGACAGCGCGTACACTACTGATGTCGGCATTCCCAGTCCCAAACCAAAATTTCCTCCTTGCAAAGAAAGCAAAAAGGACCTGATAACGTAAGCAAAACGGGGGAATGATGTGATCACCCTCCACAACTCTTCCTGTTCCTCTTCTCCTCTTTATCTTCTCTTGCTCTCAGCTTTAGAGCTCAGCACTACTGCATGCCACATGATCGAACATAAACGTAGAGTCGAGTACACTTATTTTTTGAATGCTTTATCGATTTAAAAAATAATTTCATTCGAGCCGTCCATTGCTCAGCTTCTCTCTAGTAGGATGTGATGTGATTTAGGACTCGCACACTCTTGCAGACAGTGAAGCTAAACTGGAAACAATGAACGAGAAACAAAAACGATAAAAACAACATCATAGATATTTGGGCAACACTTTGCGTTAACAACCAATCAGAGTTCAGGTTCAACTAGGCACCAATGCATAGGCTGTTACTGGACCAAAAAGGTAATCGAATTAGGGCTGTCAATTTAACAGATTCATTTAATGATTTAAAGATAAACAAATTAAAAAGGAGTGCATTTAATAATGCATCAAATCAAGTTACATTTATTTTTTTGTTGTAAGCAAGAGTAAACACTTCTCAAAAAGCATCAATGAAGATGTGATTCAGTTGTCTTTAAAAAAAATAAAATAAAAATGGCCAGTTGTCAAAGCCTGATTTGATTTTCCCAACTTAAATTAGCCGTCATTTAGGCAACAATGTAGAGAAATATAGGCTATATGGTTTTAATTTCTGCAAGTAGCTTTTAGAGTTACTCAAATGCAACAGCTTCCTTATTGTGGTTGAATGTTACTTATATCGCAGTAAAGATTTTTCCCATTATTGGAGCACGCTTGTAGTATAGCACATTCATGTTTTGGTGAATCTGCAGGAATTGTGATTAATTTGATTAATTAATCAACATATCATATAATTAATCTGATAGAAAATGTAAACAAACTGGCAGCCCTAATAAAAACATTTGTACATGTTTCTACATGTACCCCTGTAATGCACACAGAGGTGTTGTAATGCTCATGTGGGGACTCGATTGAAGTGTTGCCACTTTTTACCAGGCTTTTTCTTTTGTCAAATGCACTATTCAGGTGTAAAATGCTCTTTTAGGACACAAAAGTGACCCGTTCCATTTGCTAGACAATATAAGAAGGCAAAAAGTTATATTGAAATATATTGAGGGTACCATAAACCAGCTTCTGCTAGGTGGCGCTAAGCAGTGATATTTTAGTTTTGTATTTTGTATGAAAGTTATCCCAGTACAGATTATGTTTATGTTTTCAGGTGTCCAGTCCCTGGTTGTGATGGTCAAGGTCACATAACGGGCAAATATGCGTCACACCGCAGCGCGTCAGGCTGCCCTCTAGCAGCCAAACGACAGAAGGACAGCTATATCAATGGATCCCAGTTCACATGGAAGGCTGGGAAGACGGATGGCATGTCGTGTCCCACTCCAGGCTGTGACGGCTCTGGACATGTCAGCGGCAGTTTCCTGACCCACAGAAGGTTAAACATAAACAAATAATTTATTTTGAATGTAGTTAAGCCAAATAAAAAAAACAAATCCCAGTTAAATATATCTGAAAATGTAGGCTTATTCATTAATTTCTTTCATGTCACAAAAAGCAATAGACTTTATGATTAGCCAATGGGAATCTACTTTTCAAACAAGAACAAGACCAACAGAAAATCATGAACTGATGGTAGCAATGCTTTCAGGGGTGTGTTGAGAATGGAATACTAGTGTACTGCATACTGTGTTGCTGTGCATACTATTTTTATTTAGCATACTACATAGTATACAACATATAATGTGTACTATACTATTTTTGTTTGAGTATTCCATGCATACTGTTCAAGTGAACAGTATGCATACTGCAGATAGACCTAAGAGAAGTATGATAGTATGCTATTTTAAACAGCACTAGCCAATATTTAGGTGAGAGCGCCCTCTGGTGCTGTGTTAGTGCTGTAGCAGGTGCATTAATCGCAACATATTGTATAGTGATTAAAACAGTTATCAACTTCTGCAAAGAATATTTTTTAAAGTTTTGAGGTCGGTAAGAGTTTTTAATGTTTTTGAAAGACATCTCTTATCCTCATCAAGGCTGCATTTATTAGACCACAAATATATAGTTCAGTCATGAAACTCTAGATGGTGCATTCTGACGAGGTGTTAACGTAACTGATGATATTCAGAGAGTTAAACGACTTGGCACAAGCTGGCACTTGGCACTTGGTTCATGCTGCATATGCAGCCAATGAGCTTACTGCCTTGCATTTATATGGCTGGCTAGCACTCACTTGAGATTCCTGCAGCGCGCTTTCAGAGTTCTCCAAAACCCTCCACCTTCCCCAGCTCCACCTGTATAGATCTGCTACGGGTTATTTTATATGCTATTTGTGCAGCAGCAGTATGTCTTAAGTACTCACGGCACCATATCGCCATATGCATTGGCAGTTGCATGTTCCTGTACTTGCTTGCAGCGGCAGCAATAATCTACAACTACAGCAATAACCAACAGCAGCAGCACTTCAGCAGCAGCATAGCAGATCTGTTCCGCCAAGACCAAATACATTAACATTGTCATATCCATCACCATGCTAAAATGTTCCGATAGTTGTCATGATTGAAATACAGAAAACAGTAATATTGTGAAATATTATTACAATTTAAAATAACTGTTTTTGCTTCTTAATATATCTGTAATTAATTTTTGTTAAGGATTATTTAATGAATGGAAAGTTCAAAAGAACAGCATTTATTTGAAATGGAAATCTTTTGTAACATTATAAACGTATACTTTTACTGTCAAAATTAAATGTGTTCTTGCTGAATAAAAATATTGTATACTATCTTTTTAGATATCAAAAGTGTTAATAATCCATATTTCATGCTCTCTTATTTTTACAGTCTCTCTGGTTGCCCACGTGCCACGGCAGCAATGAAGAAAGCCAGACTATCAGGAGTGGAGATGCTCACAATAAAACAGCAAACAAGCAATGGTAAAAGAAAAAAAAAAGTTTAAAGTTTCACATTACACTGTAGAGCTCAGTCACCAGTCACCAAGATGTTTCACTTTAATTAAGAAATGCAGCTGATGACAGTTATACATATCATGGTTTTTAATGCTTGGAAATAATTCAAACCAACTGAGAGTTTATGCGAGCACAATTAGTTAGCATGCAGTAAGACAAAACAGTGTTTTTATGTGCAGGTATGTATTCTTTTTCTGCTATAAATTGTGTTTGTCTGTTCTCACTCCAGGTTTAGACTGTGATGCAGATGTTAAACAGCTGGATGAAGACATTAAAGATTTAAATGAATCAAATTCACAGGTGGAAGCGGATATGATCAAACTTAGAACACAGGTAAGGGTATTTATAGAATGAGTTTTGTACTCCATATATGAGTATTAACTTAGTCCGTTACCAGTCAATGTTTGGAATAATTACATTTTTCTTTTTTTTTTCTCTTTGGAAAAGTCTCTTATGCTCACCAAGGCTGCATATATACGTATGTATATAAAAAGTAAAAACAGTAATATTGTAAATTTTATTACAATTTTAAATAACTGTCTTCTATTTGAAAATGTTTTCAAATGTAATTTATTGCTATGATTTTTCAGCATCATTACTCCAGTCTTCAGTGTCACATGATCCTTCAGAAATCATTCTAATATGCTGCGTTGCTGTGTTTCTGATTATCAATGTTGAAAACAATTCAGCTGTTTCATACTAGGGTTACACTAGTGTTCATACACCATTATTTAGAAGTTTGGGGTAAGTAAGTTCTTATTAATCAATAATACTGAAAAACTTTGCTTGGTTTCCATTA